CTTCCAATTAATTTGTTATATGTTGGAGATAAACAACTAAAAAGTACAATAGAGATATAAATCCCTACTGACAATTCTGCTAAAGCAAAATGTTTATGCATTTTTTTTGCCTACTATGTTCACCGATCTATAAAATAATAGCATAAAATTCTTCTAAAAATGTTTAAGAAATGTTAAAATTACTCCTTGAAAATTGTTCAGGAAAGAAATATTTCAATTTTTATTTTATTTAAAACTATGTATATTTCTGTCTCTTTGGGCAGGAAATGGAACTATGACATGCCTGAAGTATTGATTCAAGTGCTAGACTGCCTCCCAGGATGCTTAAACAAGTGATTTCTTTCAGAGCTGCTTTTCTCCATAGCACTGCAATTCCCCAAAAAGCGCTAACTGCAAATTAACAATCTCAGCATTGTGGCCTTAATTCACCGGCTGGTAGCATCTGCCTGTAACTGACAAGACTTTATGATCAGCTTTTGTTTGTCTCCTAAATGGCTCAGGGCTCAGAGCTGTAATCGCACTAGACAAACAGCTGGCGCCAGCACATTCTTTCTGATAAGTGTTCTTGATCATGTGCCTGCTTACTCTATAATCCTTTCCTCTCCAATGAATGTAAAGGCAAACATTAATTCACTTCCTGCTAATTATTCCAGTGCTGGATGAGCATTCCAAAGGGCAGGGGAGTAGGGAAAAAAGGAAAGCTGAAATAAATTCATAAGCACAGTCATGTTCATGTGATTTTCTACTTAGTGACTACATCATTTAGCAACCAAGTTACTGATCCCAATTGTAGTTGCTAAATGAGGACTATATGTAACATTAATGAACAGTTTCCTCAAATCTCTTGAAATCCTTAATGCCCCATGCATTTTTGTTCACTGAAAAGGGGCAGCTGGATCTTGGTGGCTTGGCTCACTGGCTGGAATGAGGCTATGAATCAAAGATTCTTTTTAAAAAAAGTCTTCCCCAAGTACTAACATTTTCAGATAAAGTCTTGCACTGAGAATGCCCTACTAGTTGGCATGAATTTATTATCAAGTATTCTAGGTTATTTTTATTATTTTTTATATATGAGTTTGTCAACAGGACAAAATATATATGAATACAAAATGAGATATGTTAGCCAATAAACAATATATCCTTTTTAGTAGCAAAAAAAGCCATAATATGACTGATGCATATTAATTATACATATTGTATCAGCAGAGAAAAATGTATTTATGAAGCCATGTCTTTTTTAAAAAGGTCAACTGGCAAAAAGATACTTAGGAAAAGATATGTCACCATTAATATAAAGGAATGATACATAATAAACCTTGGGAATAGAATTAATAATACAGGACAGTATGCATAGATGCCACAATATACCAACAACTTAGAAATCCAAACTGAAATTTCGCCACATCACCAAATCTTATGAACTTCCAGACATTTTTAAATTGTCCAAGACAACCCATGCCTCATTTCAGAAATAGTTACTTAACTAAAAGAGAAGCAGATGGGCAAAACATCAATAAGAATGGAAGCGACGTCTGACTTCCTGTTAGCTTCTCCATCAGTGAGCGTCAGAAATATTCCTTCCTTCCTTCCTTCCTTCCTTCCTTCCTTCCTTCCTTCCTTCCTTCCTTCCATCCATCCATCCATCCATCCATCCATCCATCCATCCTTCTCTTCTCTTCTCTTCTCTTCTCTTCTCTCCTCTTTCTTATTTAGCCTCCAAAAGAAGCACAAGGTCTTATTTTTGGGGGGTGTCTTTTTCACTTAACTCGTGGCAGTGGCAGTGAGAGCCTCGCCCAGCCAGCTCACTTCTTCTACCGCCAAAGGAGCAGCTTCATTCTGGTCTGCATTTCACAGTCAAAGGCCTTTTGGAAAGGCCTCTGCAGCCAAGAACGAAGCCTGAATCCATAGCTCGGTTCTCGGAGGCAGAGGCCTTCCGGAAAGTCCTCTGATGGTGAAATGCAGGCCGGGGGATGCAGCAGAAGAAGTAGGCTGGCAAGGCGAGGCAATTGTTGAATCATGGGAGGCCTGGCTGCAACAGGTTCAGGGTGCGTGGGACAGCTCCACCCCATGCCCCCACACTAGCTTGATTTTTGGGCATGTGCCTTGCCCCAAAACTAGGGCTTATTTTGGGGGGAGGGCTTATATTAGGCCCACCCACCACCCAAATCAAGCTAGGGTTTATTTTCAGAGTAGAAAATATTTTCTATTTTCAGAGTAGGCTCAGCCAATTTCACTGTATACATGTTATACTTTGATAATAAAGGGTTTATTTATTATTATTAGATCTTATTTTTGTGGCAACATAGTATCTGTTTTAAATACTATCCTCAATAATAATCCAGATGATACTACAGAGAAAAAACACTGGCTGGTTTACAAAGACATATAGAGGATCAGTTGAAGAAGACTTCACTAGTTAGCCCACACTCTACACATATAAATCTTAGTTGTGCTGTCAACCTACTCACTAGTCCAGTAGTGTTATTGATAAATGCACTGCAATAGTATAACTTCAAGAATCAGGCATAAGTATCATTTATTCAGTCCTGAGGTAGTTTCAAATGGTCACTGAACAAATTTGTTTGTTTGCTTTTCACATATTTGAACCACCCATCTCGCTCTGAGGGAGACTGAGTTGTTAAGCAAGAACTACCTATATTCTGGGAGGAAAAATATTAAGACCTTTACACACAGCTTGAAGTATTTAAATAACTCAATGACAAAAGCACACAATAGAGAGGAGAATAATCACCTTTTCCAAACATGAGATTCATATCTAATCACCTATTTAGAAGTTACCTTGCTAAAAATGCAAAACAGATTTGTGGAATCAATTTAATAATTGGTGATTTATAAAGAAAACACTGCCAAACAAGAATACTCATACTATTAAACGCTTCAGCAACATCCAAGAAAGTTCCAGAGTGGATTTCTTTGCTTATATGTGCATTGCACATATAACTCATATGGTGAGTTCTATTAGTATAATTTTTTTGTTTAATCAATCCAGCTTAATATTTGTATAGTTACCAATTAAATTATTTAACCTGTTGCTAAAAGTCCTGCAATGATTTTATCATCTGAATTGAAAGCTGGTCTATACAGCTCAGCATAGCTATATAATTTCACTTCCTGAAAATTAATATTGTAAGCTTTTTCTTCGATTCCACAATTCTCTATGCTATACAATTTCATTAATTAATTCTGTTTTAACTCTATAGTTTTGAATCCTATCTTTTTTAACGTTTTTTTCTAGATAATACTCCTATATTTGTATTTAGATTTTCATTATCCTCCTGACAGAATTTAAGACCTGTAACTTACAGTATTTTTAAAAGTTCTTTATTTCCTTGGTTTATAGTAATTATTATGAAGCTTTTCATTAAGACTTATGTATTTTTTCATTTATTCACCCTTAATACTATTTAATTGGAAGAATTAATTATACCATACATAGTGAATTCAGGTTTGGCTTTTCCGCTAATTGTCAAGCTAATGAATTACCTTGTTTGGCTCCATTTTCAAAGGATCTTTATTTAATGAAAGCCATGAATTCATCTGTATTTTATGATCCATTAAATATATTATTTTCTTAGCTTTCAAACTGGTTCATATACATGTATAAGTACAGAGTGGTTTCTTTTAAGTTGTACCTGCATTGCTTTATATTTTATTATTTGATTTTTAGTTTCCTTGTTTTTTCCTATTATTAGACACATTTTAAAAAGTTTAGTACTATTAAAAATGCACCTCAAACAGCAACACCTAATAAACTTAGGATAATCTTAAAAAGTTAACTAGGATCAAGTCTAATTGGTACTTGAATATGATACCACAAGAAAATCGCAGTGTTATAGACTAAACTAGGAAGCTGAAAAAAAATATTGGAAAAACATATGCTATTTTATTGCTAAGAAAACAACATTGAAATGTTCATGTAAGCACGAATCAAACTCTACTTGAGATTTTCATGATCATCTATTCATCATGATATTCAATGAATTACTCTGTGTTTAAGTTTACTTTGATTTTAAATTCTTGAAAAATCATTAGAACTTTGTTTGAAGAAGATTTGGGCAACTATACATGTAATATACCAGAAATTACCACTAACAATAATCCAGCAAATACAAATAGTCTGGATTTCAGTAGCAAGCATGGCTATCGGAGTAAGAATTAAAATTCTCTTATTTAATTTTTAATTCATCTGAAATTTAATTAAACGTAACATAAGGAGCAAGTGGTTATATCAAATAAATAAAATGTTTCAAATGTACACATTTATATAGATTTTCTTTTCATATACATGTAACTAGAAGTGCCAGCTGGGACCAAATGCAGCTGCTACATTAATAACTATGTGAAACAGCTCTGAAGAGTAATTATTCTCATTTCAGTAAAATATTGAAATTGTTTTACTTTTGTGAACATGATTTTTACAGCATCTAGAATTTTTTTGTGTTCCACTGAGATGAAAAATAATACTTGCACAACACACACATATATAGAAGGAATACCAAATGTTCTACTCAGCATATGTCTCCAAGACTCTTTATATCTCTTTCTTTCAAGTGTATCCATATATACACACTGTGTCCCTTCATATCAGACATTTTTAGAATTTTTATAAATTTCAGGAGCGTGTTTTGTGTAGCATACCCAGTTGTAAAAAGGATTTAAGAAAACACATTATTGGAATTCTTCTTCAAGTATTTTGCATTTGAGTTTTTACTAAGAAGTCAGGTTATAATCCAGTGAGCAAAACAGTACTTTAGCTTCAGAAAAATATATTTCTTCCATTCATCTTTCACTGGACAGAGATGTTTTCTCAAACAAATTGGGAAAATTGTCTCAGATGTTTGTGAATTTTTTCCCCAAAAGTCACTCTTTGAGTAATGATAACAAAGCTTAATAGAATATAAACTACTTAACAACTGGATTTCTAAGAATGCTAATACTGCTAAGAACAATGTCAGAATCTGAAAGCACAAGATACCTACTGACACAGAGGGATTCAAAATATGGTGATTAGCATGTGACGCTCCTGGCACAAAGTCAGCTGGCTGTCCCACAGTTGGATCACTACTCCTTCTAACCAAAAGTGGAGTACCTAGAAAGAGAGAAAAAAATATATTCGATTAATTAGGATTACTTTAGAATCATTCACTTTTATAACACTATATAATGTTATAGTTATAGTTTGGCCGCTTTTCCAGACGCCAGTTCAGACTAAGAAAAGCCTGTTTCAGGGATATTGGGGAAAGATGTGGAGGAACATTAGGAAATTGCCAGAGGGTCTGAGCCACGAGCAGCGAGGGCAAGCACAGGGGAGTGGTTGCAGGGGGACAATCTGATGAGCGTCCGGCTGAGCTAGGGACAGAAGAGGCACGGCTACAGCTGGGAAGCCCCGAGATTTTGAGCAGAGGAAGGGCAGCTGCAGCTGGCCATCAGAGAGGAGGAAGAACTGCTTCCTCTTCCTGATCTGAGAGCAGATAGGGCTGAGGAGGAAGATGCAACTAAAGTCAGCCAAGCTACTTGCAAGGCAGTAGCCTCACCCCTCTTGATAGGCTGCAACGTGGAGTGGCTATTTAGCTTAGTACATGGAGGGAAACGATGTTGGGAACAACTCATCCATTTCCCTGCTGTGTGTTCTTCAGCCGCTGTGATTTTTTACTTGTCCCGGACCTGGATTCTATATCTCGGACTTTGGATCACGCCTCTTGAACTTTGGACATGCCTTGCAGACTTGTCTTTGCTCTGTGGATTTGCACTGGGTTTTTCTTGGATTAGACTATTGAATTCCTTGGGGGTTGCAGTGGTGTTGATGTAGGAAATTTCTGGGGAAAATTATTCGGTGCTTGGCACAAAATCTACGTGAGAATTTTTATAAGATGTTTTATAGATGGCACATGGATCCTGCAACTATGTCTCGCATTTATGAGAATTATGAATCCAAGTGCTGGAGGTGTGGACAACAAGATGCAACTTTTTTTCATATGTGGTGGACCTGTAAGGTTATTAAGGCCTTTTGGATAAAATTATGGTGGAATTTACAGCAANGAGGGATTCAAAATATGGTGATTAGCATGTGACGCTCCTGGCACAAAGTCAGCTGGCTGTCCCACAGTTGGATCACTACTCCTTCTAACCAAAAGTGGAGTACCTAGAAAGAGAGAAAAAAATATATTCGATTAATTAGGATTACTTTAGAATCATTCACTTTTATAACACTATATAATGTTATAGTTATAGTTTGGCCTTTTCCAGACGCCAGTTCAGACTAAGAAAAGCCTGTTTCAGGGATATTGGGGAAAGATGTGGAGGAACATTAGGAAATTGCCAGAGGGTCTGAGCCACGAGCAGCGAGGGCGAGCACAGGGGAGTGGTTGCAGGGGGACAATCTGATGAGCCTCCGGCTGAGCTAGGGACAGAAGAGGCACGGCTACAGCTGGGAAGCCCCGAGATTTTGAGCAGAGGAAGGGCAGCTGCAGCTGGCCATCAGAGAGGAGGAAGAACTGCTTCCTCTTCCTGATCTGAGAGCAGATAGGGCTGAGGAGGAAGATGCAACTAAAGTCAGCCAAGCTACTTGCAAGGCAGTAGCCTCACCCCTCTTGATAGGCTGCAACGTGGAGTGGCTATTTAGCTTAGTACATGGAGGGAAACGATGTTGGGAACAACTCATCCATTTCCCTGCTGTGTGTTCTTCAGCCGCTGTGATTTTTTACTTGTCCTGGACCTGGATTCTATATCTCGGACTTTGGATCACGCCTCTTGAACTTTGGACATGCCTTGCAGACTTGTCTTTGCTCTGTGGATTTGCACTGGGTTTTTCTTGGATTAGACTATTGAATTCCTTGGGGGTTGCAGTGGTGTTGATGTAGGAAATTTCTGGGGAAAATTATTCGGTGCTTGGGAAGCCTCAATAAAGACTTTTAACACTCATGGAGTGTGCTTGGTGAGCGGGACAGGATGATATTTCTACAACGACTTAGGGATACCTTACAAAGCAATCAACTCTTGCTTTTTTTTTTTTAGTATGGAAAGGAAAACTAAAATTATTGTGAGTGAGATTTCCAAATATGTCAGAGAGAGAGAAAGAGAAACATGTTGTATGTCAATAAAATCCAGAATGCATAGCATACCCAGTTGTAAAAAGGATTTAAGAAAGCATATTACTTTACTGGATCAGTCATCAAGATTAACAGCCTTTGATAATCAGATTCTCTATGATTTGGTCCAATTTCCTTTTAAAAGGAATAGGTGGCAATCATCATATCTGATGTTAAAAATCTAGAGTTTTGATATTAAGAAATGTTCTATTTTATCAGTTCTAAATATCCTTACATTTATTTTTAATGGCTGATCCTGTATTTTAATATTGTACCAGAGGGGAAATATTCACTCTCTCTCCATATTTAGAATCATGAATCCAGACAGTCTGAAATAATCATAAATAATTATTCATAAAATGTATATGTCACAGTGATTCTGGGCAGTTTACAATTGTTAACATTTAAGAACAAAAAAAATCAGCACAAGAGAAAAGAACAATAATTGCAAAGAAAACAAAATCAGAAATGAACACAAAGGAAGAAAGGGGCATCAATTACCCTTGCCAAAAGGCAGGCTGAAGAGCCAGGTGTTTAGTAGTCTTCAAAATATCAGTCAGGTGGGAACTGTTTTGGGGGGGGAACTTGAGTCAAAGGACAAGCACTGCTACAGCAAAGGCACAATTCCAGGGACCAAGTAAATGGCATTGTTTAATCGATGGAACTGCACCCTGCCAACCTTGACTGAAGTGATTAGATAAAGCACGTCCATGTGAGAGAGATACTTTTTTTTTTAAATTTGGGAGAGAATATAGAATACTGGAATACATATGCATATATACATATACACAGTGCTTTTTTTGTAAAAAAAAAAAAAAAAAGGTGCTGGAACTCACACATGTCATACAACTCGCCTTGCCTACCCTACAAGGTTCCATCCAAAAAAGGTGCCGGAACTCTGTTCTGGGCGTTCTATGACAAAAAAAGCCCTGCATATACATATGCATTTAAAATAAATGATTTGTCTTATGAATTCCATTATTAAAATTTCCTAATGTTGATCTCTCTCTATACTGTACTGATAAAATTGTCCTTTCTATATACATGAACCTTTCTCTAATAATATTTTATATGATACATTTTCATAATCTTATCTATTCTTGGTTCCTATAGCTCAGACATGTCAAACACAAGGCCCGGGGGCCGGATGCAGCCCACAAAGTGGTTTCATGTGGCCCGCGAAGCCATACTGGAAACAGTGAGGGAATGGCCCCCACTGCCTTGGCCCTGGCCCAGGCCAGCCGGGAGCCAATGTATAATTTTGTGGTGGCCATCTATGCTGAAACGCATTCAGTCTTAGCTCCACAAGGCCATCTGGAAACAGCGAGGAACCAGCCCCTGCCGCGTCGGCCTCCTCACGAAGGGTGACACCTCCCCAGTTGCATTTCTTGTCTGTTTTTCTCCCTCCCTCATCTCAAATATTTTCCCACCACTCTGTACTTAGGAAGGAAGGAACAAAGGAAAGCACCCCCCCACACACATGGCCTGAGAGGAACAGCGAGGCTCCTCCATTGGACCATGCCTTGGCACTTGCCCTGGTCCCACCCCCTTCTGCCAGAGACCCTCAGAGCTGTCCCACTCCTGCCCAGGTCCCCACGGGCACCCTTGAAGCGAATGTAGAGCTGGCCACGCCCACCCAGTAGGCCACACCCACTCCATTCATACCCACCCAGTAGGCCACACCCACCCTGGCCACACACACCTCCCCCCCGAGGGCAACTGCAATGCTAATGCGGCCCTCAATGAAATTAAGTTTGACACCCCTGCTATAGCTCTTCTTTATTCAACTGATTTAAATATAATCTCTGGATCCTTAGCCAACTAGCATAGTATCTCAAACTTTTCTCTATGAAAATTATGGAAATAAAGATTGTTCATTTTTTCATTCCTTCAAAATCAGTTCCTCAACAATCTGTACATCAGGAGATACAACTTCCTGAATGTTAAACATATATTTAGACTTGAAAATATCATAACATTGTATATGAGTAGACAGTCTATTTTTAAAATACTATTTTAGTTTTGATGGTCTTCTAAACGAGAGTCAGCTCAAGTTTGTGACAGACTATATCTTGGTAAGAGCAAATAGTCTTTTCTGAGCATTTCCATTTTATTTTGGTTTGAAATCTTAAATGAAAGATTCACTGGTTCATTTTTTTTCTTTCCCTGGTTTCTTGTTGCTTCCACGATCTGATGGCTGTTTTTATCAATATACTGTGATTTTGAATTTAATATTAAATAGTGAATTTAATATGACTATATTCAAATTTAGTTTGTGAATGTAAACATACTCTTCATATTTATCATCTTAATGCAGTTATGCCAATTTTGATTTTTTTCTCAAGAACATAAAAACCTAAACTTAACCCTAATTCTATATTATAGATCATGATGACATCACTGAAAATTTAAGCTTGAGCTCATTTATTTGAATCTAGAAGTTCTGAAGTTTTGTGGCCAAATGAGCCAGTTTTTCATTCATACTTCTATGGATTGTTTCCTCCCTGACTATGAAAATGTTTTTTTCTTTTTTCTTAAGAATATGGTATTCTGAAAGATTATGGTATTCCCGAATGATGATATAGCTTATCTTTCTCTCATTAATTAAATGAGGTTTGATGTTCTATCATGATCATCAATACATTTTGGGGAAAGCATACTATACTTTTTGTTGAAAAATACTGTATCTTGTTAAAACCCAATTGAACCCTTAAAATCAATATTATAAGACAATGGAAAGCAGTTACAGAATTAAGTTTGAAGACACTTAAACAATTAAATTAAATAATAACAGCTGGGAGAATAGAAGACCTTCATGCTATTGGGCAAGGCTGGCATTATTCATCTTCAAAAATATTTATACATTTAGTATTAGATACATCATATAGAGGGGACTGAAAACAATGGGAAGACCATTAGATGACAGCAAGGTCCAGTGAAAAGAATAGCATAGTCTCTGAATACTGGATCACCTCATTCTGACTTGACTTGCAGAACAACAAACCACAAAAAGAACTATTC